GAAAAAGTAAAGATTTGATTTCGTTTCTCAGTTTTTCAAACTTGGTCACGTTTACTATTAATTCGTACTCTTTGTATGTTTTTTTTTGTTCTATGATAGATATGACATGTGCGTAGTTTCTCTTTGATATATAATCTCGATCTATTCAGAAGGCCATTTGATAATTTTTGACGGTGATGACGAACGTATATAAGAGTAGTTTGGATTTGATAAAAGGTATTATTTATAATAAGAAACAAAGAATTTAATTAAAGAAAATTTTCTTTCTTGACGTTTCACCTAAACTTTGTTTTATTTTTTTAGATATATATAATCTGTAAAATAATGAATCGATTGATTCTTTTTTTAATACTTTGCTTTACTTTCTTATTAATCATACAAAAATCAACTGTATATGCTGATATATGTTTACACAATGAACGTTCAAAATGTACTCAAGCTCGTAATGCAAATGAAGTAACACATGAAGAAAATGTTCAGTGCAATCATTTATGTATTCAATCAGGACACGCATCAGGACATTGTTCATTGTCATCAAATTGTTTTCAATATTGTTTATGTCATGAAAAAGAATTGTAAAGACATTTTATTTTATTTTATTTTAAAAATATATGTTAAAATACAGGAGAATTAGCACTTATATATAAATGACTTTAAAAAAAAAATATTCATCGATTCATTACAGTTTTGATAAATCAAACTAAAAGACTTTTGCTCGTCACTAGCTATGACTTAGTCTTAAATTGACTCGTATTTTAAATGGTGCCGTTGCTATTTTTTGGTAGATTAGTTAATATCATATACAAGAACAGTTCATTACTAGCTGTGTCTATATCATTCATTCTATTATATTTATCAGCAGCAATAAAGATTAAGGAATACAAGAAAAAAAACGATTATAGTGTAAATATATACTTTCGTTGTCTATTTTAATTTGAAATGAATAGATTTAATCGATCATAGTAGTAATAGAATAATAGTTTTAAAAACATCCTTATAATTGTGATGACATCATTTTGAATTCAATAAGAAGAAAATATTTCAAACTTAAACATAAATATAAATACTTCTATTTTATACTAAATTGATTTCATCATTCGAAAAGCAAGAATGAGAAATCAATAATATGAGTCATAACATTGATTTTTATCTCTAACATTTCTTTCCGAGATTAAGATAAACTCAATCGGTTTACTTGGAATTCGACACAAGGTCAATCAAAGATATGTGAATTACCTTCCTTCATTTTAACTACCTTGATTACATCGTGATCGGTGATCATTTTCTAAATTTTTATAATCATATATCTGAACAAAAACCGTAATAATCCATAAGAAATAAAGTGATACATCAACAGTTAATATTGAATAGAGTAGCAAAATAATCAAATGAATGATTATGTCTAAGGAAAAGTAATTGGACATAGAAAGTCCCAATTAGTAATGACGAATATCAAGGTAGAATACGTTTTATTAAAGAGATATATTTAGATTTGGGTGAATAGATATTTTCAAAGTAATTACTATAAACAGAATGCAATGATATATACAAAGTCGAAACGATGCATCATAGCGATAAAACGTTTGAGCAAAGCCCATATTAGACAAAATTCTTCGTGGAATAATATAATGTCGTACTGAATTTATTATTTTTTGGCAGATGATACAATATGTTTAGCATTCGTTTTTATCTCATCGCTTTTTTTTTTCTTTGATTCTCTTTCTCTCTCATAGTATCATTGCCATGTTATTATTCTTTTTGAATGCAATCCAATCCCGTGTACACAACTATTGATATGAAAAAAAAAACAATATTATTACCGTCAACCAACAAATTGTCGTACTGATAAATTTATCTTCCATGATATTCAGTACAAGTAGAAGGAAGCAGAATTTTGTGTACTTTTAAACTTTAATATACGTATAAGATCGCAATGAACAAACTAATGATATTTATCCATCCAAAAAAATTTGAATTATGTAGTCATTTTGTAACAATGATAAATTGAGTTTTTCTAAGATGAATTATTCTCTATCATATTCTTTCCCTTCAATATCAAATTAAGGAATATGTGCAAGACAGCACAAATTAAATAACAGAAGTCTACTTTAAATTGCCAGTCGTCAGAAAAAGAAATCTTTCATGAGAAACTTTTGATATAACTTGGATAATATTTTTTGTTTTAAGAGCAAGCAGATTTTGATAAACTATTGATATCATAATTAAAATCAGTATTAAATAATATTTTCATGTAAGAAAAAAGAAAAAAAAAATATATATCAAATAAAAATAAAACTTAGTTGAGATGTTATCATATAAACGTTAGATAATACTAAAGATATGTATAGCACTGTATTTATTCAAGTCAAAATTGTTATTTCATGATGTGAAGATAAGAACATTATTTTATTATATCGAAGTAGACTGAAAATAATCTGATGATATAAATAAAACTCAAGACTATAGCTTTTCTAGGGACATGTATCATTCAACTTCGTCGGACTAATATTTTTGGACTCGAACTTGATAAAATTTTTAATTCGAATTTGATAGTCATTCCGAAAGAACGAGATACTTTTTCGATTATTTAGACTGTTACTAATACAAAGACAACTTCTTCATCTTGATATGAACTTTATATAACAGTTTATAACTAGAGAATATTGAAGATTATGCAAAATCAATGTTTATTTTTCTCTGTATTTTTAAACAGCAGCATTAGAATGAAAATATATAGTAGAATAATTTCAATTATCTGATTGCAAACGAAACAAAAACAATTAGTCTGCTACGGAACTAGGTGATATTGTAGCAAATAATCGTTGTAATTGTGGTGGCATCATTTTGGGTTCAGTAAAAAAATATTTCAAACTAAGCATTTGTCGATTAAGTAAACCAAATGCAAGTAATAAGGCTGCTATTTTATACCAAATTGATTCAATCATACGAAAAGCAAGAAAAAAACCAATACTATGAAGTGAGACATCCATTATTGTCTCTAACATTTCTTTACCAGATTCAACTAAACTAAATCGATTTCCTTTAAACTCGAGACAAGACCAATGAAAGATACGTGAAATTTTATGTGAATTATCTTCTGGTATTTTCTCATCTTGATTACGTCGTGGAGATGGATTCATTTTCAAATTTCTATAATAATATAAATGAACAATAAACGCATAAATCCATAGAATCTGTATTGGTAGACCAACAGTATTTGATGAGTAGAGTAGGAAATTAATCAAATGAATGCATGCATCTAACAGAAAGTAATTATGTTGACGGCGTAAAAAGCCCAATTTGGAATTGCGAATACCTAGAAATAGAAAATGTATCGTTTAAGTGGAATGCATTGAAATACGGTAGAATCGATATTTTCAAAATAATTATTATTATAAATCGAATGCGATGTTACCTAAGAAGACGAAAAGATGTGTAATAGCCATAAATAGTTCGAGCAAAGCCCATATCAGATAAAATTCTTGATAGAACACCATAATGTTCAACTAAATTTATTATGTTCAGCAAATGATGGTATATATATATATAGTTCCTTCATTTTACTTGTTGTTATATCATACATCCTTTTAGTTCGTTTTCATCTTTCATTCTGTTATCAGGATCGTCATGTTACTTTTCTCTTGTATACTGTGCGACCCTAAGAATATAAATATGAATACAGAATACAAAAGGCATAGATCAGCAAGTACACGTTTTTCATCACATGGCACTTTCGTCTATAAATTCAGGTGTAAATAAAGACATAATAAAAAACAAATAAAACTTGTCATGCTCTACTCAATATTAGGCATCGTATTTTATTAACTCATGTAAGAAATTGATGCATTCTAACGAATCTATCTATCATTGAAGAAGATCGACAATTACGTCTATAATTGAGAGACAGAATATGATAAATAGCTATTGAAATTCAATAAATAGAAGGAACGTTTAATTCATAAATGTTCAAAAAATGATTTTGAGATTTTCTTTTTATGAAAACTATAGTTGTAAAATACATAATTATTCCCATGAATGCAATTTGATTTAATTTACAAAAAAAATCATCACATGCAGATGTTTGCATCGAACAAACTGCTGATGTTTATCGAGCAAAAAAAAAAAAGAAACAACTTCGAAGTAACATTTTTCAATTAAAATAATAAATAAACGATAGTCAGTCAAATAGTCAGAAACAAACGTTTGAGAGGTAACTGTTAATTTCAAATGAATATAGATTCAAAAAAAAAAACGAAAATAGGTTTTAGATGTTGTCGTGAAAGTACAGGGTCCGTAAAAATGTTTTTCCAAATGAGTAACACTCTGACTTCAAATAACATTAACAGCAAATTTTATACCAAATTAAAGCGCATCGAAAATAGGATTTATGAATACTAAATAGGAAGAATTATAGCCATTTTTCAGTGTCGAATTCAGGAAAGTTCTAAAGTTTTACATTATATCAGCAAAGAAAAATTCCTTTCATGAAGCAGTTCAAACAAGATCTCATTTAAAATAATGAATATATTGCAAAGTAATGGATGCCTGACATGTAAATATTGGAACAATAATAAAAAATGAAGCCAAAAACAATAGTTGTCAGAAATAGAACACAATCGATATGATGAAGAAACTCCAGAAAAAATTATATTTCATATGTTTTGGCAAACATGGAAACAGGCATTGGTCTATTTAAAATTATTTTATGTTCGTATCTATCTCATCTTTGTGCTGTAGAAACACTAACGGTCATCATACTGATCAGAGCAGTCTGCGACCTGATCTGCTGGTCAAACCAGACGATGAATGTTTCTGAGTTTTCAGATCCATTATATTTCTAACTCTGCATTCATTTATGATATCAGTTTCAATTATTTATTTAGTTTATTTCCATGAAAATGATAGAGTAATGAGTTCTTATAGAAAATAGCAAATTAAAACAAACACAACTATTATAAATATTTTTTACACAATAAAGATTTGAATTAAAAAAGTGTTATATGATGACATCAAGACGTGGGTATGGACGGGATATTTTTCTCTCAACCACACTCATATCTCAATTATAAATGGTAAAGTTAGTGGACAATATATATCATGAACTCGTGGTACCATCTTATGTTTCAAGTTGACTACTGGGACAATTAGTATTAGATCATGTTCAGGCTACCAACTTTAGTCTGGCAAGGTGGTAGCTCTGATACTGATATTAATGATTGTATTCATTAAATCTTTAAAAAAAATGGGTATTCATTGATTGATATTCATCATTTTAAATGAAGTCTAATTTGAACTGCCTCATGAAAGGAATTTTTCTTTGCTGATACGACGTAAAATTTTAAGAATTTCCTGAATTCGACACTGAACGATTGCCATAACCCTTACTCTTTATTACTGATAAAATCCTATTTTCAACATGCGGTGATGTTGTATCAAATTTGTTGTTGATGTTATTTAATGTCATAGTACTACTCTCCTGAAAAAACATTTTTACGCATTCTGTATAGTATCGATAATTTGAATCATTATTTATTAAATTAAATTAATAAAGAGTAAATAAGATTGATATTTGTGTTTACGTGTGTCTCATAATCGATTTCATTTTCATGAAAAAGTGATAGTTTTACATTGAAATTTTTTTGTGAATGTAGCTATTTCATTCTTCCATTCATTAATGAATCATACTTCAATCTGCAACTACACAACATACATGTATCATTTCGACAAAGAAGAACAGATTGATTGATATCTCATTTACTTAAAGTTTAAAAGATTCAAATTTGAAATATTCATGTGTTTTTATTTCTGAACAATGTATGTAAGTTATAGCAAAGTGAATATTCTGTTTAATTTGTTGGGTAATTTATGATAAACTTGTGTAGTAAAAATTTTTCTCTCATTTCAATATTATTGTTGTTCGTCATATTAATGATTATTCAATATAATTAGAATTACAAACTCGTTTATTCTTCATAAATGCATTTTTTTTGTTTTGATCAATATATCAATCAAAAGTTTAAATTTTCTTTTGAAATATAGTATACGTATTTTTTGATAATAAAATGTGAGTGTTATTCGAAAGAACAGTAGATTATATTGCCACGAAAAATTAAAAAATGTGTTCATAATTTCAGAAAATTTTTATAATTATAAAACATGAGTAACTTGTGATCAAAGATTATATAATGGGCGGGGCAAAAGTTCTGCATTAATTTTGTTTTTGATGTATCGCTATAATGGAATCTCGTAGAGATTTCATCATTTTTGTTTTGTTAGAAGGAGTAAAGTATCTAGTGCAAAAATATACAAATGAATATCATTGAAAATGTTTGATAGAGACTACAGAAGTTTTCGAACGGAAAACATTGAAAAAGGATTTCGCAACTTCTTTTTGAACTTGAAAAAGATGTCATTTAATCTGACTGTTTTTATTTTTACTCTTCTAATCCGAGTTTTACAAGGTATGGATAGTGAAGTCTTGTAGCACAAAAAAGAAGCCCTTTTTATTTTTATAATGGTTGAAACGAACTCTTTAATGATATTATCTAATGTCTGTATGTCTCATCACTTTCGATTACAGTCGAAAAAATGAATTCTATTCGAATAGAGAGATTGTCAGAAATTATATATTTAATATAAAAATCAAAGCTTGATGAGTTCTCTATCGTACGATATTATTTGAAATAGGATACAGATTTTCTATGTGATATTCAACCAAATATTTGTTTTCGTATTAGAAATCATAAATCCACAAAATAAAATTTTTCAATGATATACTCTTCTGTTCATTCTCTTGTGTGTTAGACCAATTATTCTAATACTACATGAAAACCTTCTTTTTAATAAACAACTATATAGAAACGACTCTCAAAAACACCGTATAATGATGAAAAAGATCAAACAAATATTTTCGGATTAAAATATTCTTATCAAAGTTGCGAAATCCTTTTTTTAGTGCTTTCCGTTCTAAAGTTTCTGTAATCTCTATTAAACATTTTCGAAGATATTCATTTGTATATTTTTGCACTAGACACTTTACGTTTTCTAACAAAAAAAATGATGAAATTTCTACGAGATTCCATTAAAGTGCTACATCAAAAACAAAATTAATGCAAAACTTTTGCCCCACTCGTTAATTTGTTTTCTTACTAGGGTATGTCATCTAGTAGAGATTGCTTATCATCAATTGTTTGACGATCATAAGAATTTATGATGCAAATAAAAAAACACATATATTATTCCTTAAACTGGTATACAAAGTCTATCTGTCAAGGCACTTAAAGTCATAGCTATATAAGGCCACGTTTTATGTCGAACATTTTGCACCCGAAAAATGCGCTCTTCTGCATATACTCTACTTGTCTTATTGGCAGTCACGTTGATCAATGGTATTCCATTTGCTACCGACAATGGAGATTCTGATCAACAAGAAATGCTTCACCGTAGTCTGCCTGATTGTTTATCATGGTATTGGACTCAACCTGATCCTGCCAAATTTCAAGCCCAAACAGTAAAACCGTCATGCAGTATTTCACCTACGTTTCCCCCCTTTTTGCCTGGTGGTTGGTCAGTAGATCCAGGTTGTGATGCATCCAAACAACCAAATACTTGTGATTTACATAAGGGTGCTCATGGTTGCTATCGGAATGCTATCTCTACAACAGGACCGGGTGCTCAAGCATGTTATGATGTAAATGGTCAATGGATATCAGATCCTTGGAAAGGCGCTGGCACACTTGATGTAGAAACACCATTGGGTGACGCTATCCAACAAGGTTTACATGTGGTTGTTGATGTTTTACCATATTACAGTTGCTGCAAAACATCACTCTTCTTTCAAAAATCTACCTGCAATCTTTACTATAAAAGACGCCCATCAGGACAATGTCAAAATTAATCTTTCTTTGGAAATATTTTTTTTAAATGATTTTATAATACTGTTTCAGTATTAAATAAAAATCGGAAAGATTCATCTATTATAAGATTTTCCTTGATCTCCTTATCAGATTCATGCTTGATTGAAATCAATAAATAGATTTTAAAGAAAAAAACAAAATATGAAACTGTTCTATGTATTACAAGAATTGTTGTTTAGTTCTCTCATATCATTGATCATCTCAATCATTTAGGTCAGACTACTTGATTTAAGCAATTATTTGAGTAAAGTAATCAATTAAACAGTAACATACATTCAACTATATCAACAAATCAATAATTGCATGGTATCAAATTTTTCTCAACATTTTCTTTTCTTTAAAAGATAAATTTTTATCATTTATACTTTCATAATTACTGAAAAACAAGACAATCTCATACGATGAACAAGTTAGCTTAACCTCCGCCTATTTCTACTTCAAACATATGATGATAAGAAAGATCATGCGATAGTGATAATTATTACCTATGATAATTGAAAAGTATATAATAAATGAAATTCTACTTAATTAATACAGAATACATGTACAACCTACTGTTGAAATCGGCACAGCATTAGGTAAAGCTTCGTATATACTGACAAATCAGAATATCTCTTGACATGCAAATGTCCTTTGATTTATTTTCGTCAACTTGAAAAAAAACAACCTTTTACTAAAGCTCTTCAAATGTTGATTCATTTTAATAGCTCTAAACAATAAGATCTGTTTTCGTCTTTGTTTTCTTTACATAAATATTTTATAACTAACCCTTTGATGGCGGATGTATTTCCAGTATAAATAAAGTAAAAATCTGTTGCTAACACGATATACTTCAAAAGTGATTGGCGATTATAATTTTTGCACTTAGGCTTAATTTACAGACGCAATTGTGTGACCTGTAGCATCTATGTCAGAACATAATAAATATTGAAAATGCCTGTTTTACTATATTTCGACTTGCCCTCTATTTGACCTTTGAAAATGTAAATTTACGAGCTATACCATCATATAGTTAATTCCTTATCAGAAGCATACTTAGAAAAGAAGTAAAAGAGTGACAGATTTATTGTATAGTATTATTTATGAGAAAGATACAGGTAGCCGATACTTAAGTATTGCTTTTTCTTCTTCTCTTTATTTTATTATCCAACTACGTTTTTGTCATTCAAAATTTAAGTATTAAGTTTTGCCAGAGTTAAAAGTTACAAAGAATAAACAGCAGAAAATTCAATATTTCTTTTCAATTAGTATGATTAGATATTAGTGAACAGTAGAAACAATATTTTGAAGAATGAAAATTTATTCTCGTTTCAATTCTCTTGAGTGTAACTGCACTAATTAAAGACAATTCTATCTATAGCTCGTATCTTCATTAGATCAAAGCTAATTTTCAAAGGACAACTATTTCTGATGGATATTCACTTTGTGTTTCATTCTTATCTCGTTCTATTTTTATTAACGGTGGCTGAACAGTGAAGCTTCTGATATTTGAGCTCGAGTTGTACGTGTGAATGTTACTTTTCTCTCCATTGATACCCACACCTACATCCATCACCACATTACTTGATTATTATTTGCTAGCCAATATCGAAAAGCATCAACTAGAAGTTGATCTTTACCTTTCAATGATTGTATAACTGACATAATTAACAAGAGATATATGAAGAATGATTGCCCATGTTTTCTTGATTTCTATCTATACACGTAAATAACGAATCAAATACTGAGAATTCTTTTTATTTCTTTGAAAAAAGTTGATAATATACCAACCGAGAAGAGTGAATAATTAGTTATATGTATCCTATATAGTTGGTTATTGGATGTTATTGAAAAATATATATATATATATATTGCTTATTATTTATTTTGGTCAAAACTACATATAAAAGGCTCAACTGTCGATGTGTCTTCATTAGCAATATTTTGTTTTTATTCTGCTGAGATTTCACCAAATAATTAGCTTATTCTTTCAGTGATTGCATAATCACTGATTATTTAAACCTCGATTTTTATATAAAAATGTGCCCCCTATAATCTTCTATCGCTTGCTGAAAATCGCAGGTCGCTATGACTTTTCGTTCGAAAGTTATAAGCTTTTTTCCAGGTGCCTTCTTTTAAAATTCCGATAGTAACTAGTGGAATATTCAACTTTATGTTATGATAGTTTTAAAACAATATAGGCACAATACTAAAAAACTATTGTACTCTTGTACTGTGATGCCTTTTCATGTATTGCATCTGTTTCAGAATGAATGAAATTTATGGTGAAATCGATGACTCATCTAACACTTGTATTGCAGCATCCAAGAAAAACACAGCTTTTTTTCCTAATCTGAAAGAAATGAGAATAATGTTTCGATGAAGAGTGAAATATGAGTAAAAAAAAGTTGAATACACCAGCCGGGAGTCGAACCCGGATCTTTCGCGTGTCACACGAGAATTCTACCGTTGAACTACCAGTGCTTGTTCTTGACATTTGAGGAATATTTCATATTAATTAATTTGATTCAATCATCTTTAACATAGTTAAGCAGTAAATATCAGAATCATTCGACTCATATGTGTTTTAACTTGAATCCATCGTTTGAATACAGCAATTTGTGAACAATTGAAAATATTTACACTACTATTATCGATTTCAAGATATAATGTGTTTCACTATGTTTTGAACACATTTTTGATGGGAACCTTATAGAGACCTGAGGTTTTCCCTATTCAAGACAAGAGATTCAGTATCGTCGGAGTATATCGAAATTGGATTGGTTAGCAATTGATCGATCAGGTGAATTCTTGGCGAAGATTTTCGAAAATAATATTCTGAAGCTTTTTCTCTTTCGATCTATGGATGATCAACATTCCTAGCTTGTTCCATTTGAGAGTTAAAAACATTGCCCGAAAAAAATTGAATAATTCAGATTATTATATGTATAGTTTCTCTGCGAATCAACATTTAGAGATGAAATTTCCTGTGGATATAGTATAAATACTGATTGTACTTTTGACGCAAATCGCATTTCAAAAATCAACATTGTCAGAAAAATTGTGTTCAGAACTGTAAGACGAAAGAAGAACTTAAAGTTTACTAGCAGTTTAATTTAAGATAATTTTGTTTTGTTGTTTACAATACACATAAATCTGATTGATATGAAAATTATAAAATTCTTTAGAACTTTTATATGCAAATAGGCATTAAGAGTCAAACGGACATTACAATTATGATAGAGTCACGATTCAGTAGGCTTGTTTCATCAAATTACTTCGAAACACCACCGTTTTGACGAAGTTCAAACGTTAAGGATCAACGATTCAGAATTCAAATGCTCATAGAACTCGAAATTTACTCTTCATGTTATTTTGAACAAAGACAAAACTAAATCATCTGATATTAAAGATGTAATCCGAACGGGTAAATCTTGTTGATCAAAGATTAAAACTTTTTTAAATTTATGTTAGTCATCACTGCTGTAGATTCAATTTTTCGTTTCCAAACTTTGTGAATGGTTGACATTGGGTAATTATTTTAGAACCAAATTCAACCGTTTTTCGCTCATTGTATTGTCAAATACGGTTGCTTCTAATCAATTGCTATATATAAAAAGAACGTGTACATACATGAATGGTTATGACAAAGCATACATGTGAATACATCATAGACTATATTTTATTCCTGTTAATACGCATGGCACTTTGCATCTATTATGCTTAATATTTCTGTATGAGAGAATATACGACTACTTTTTTAGATAACTTGTACATTAATGTGCAAGAATTCTCGTCTGTATATGGAAATAAAACGAAGCAATTCTTGGAAAAGATGCAAAGTCTTTTTCCAAATATAAGATTTGAACTTATATACTTTCGTTCATATAACAAACTTCTTTGCTAGTCGATCATTGGCCTACATTTAGCATATATATACAAAAGTGCTGGATATATAATAATTATTCGATAACTTTCAAGCATAAATATACATGAATGATAACAAACTATTATAGAAATTGAAAAAGTAAATAAATTACTTTTTTCTATTAGGCAATCCTGTGTGATTATGCACAAGCAAATGCATTTTAGCCGGAAATAAACAATGTCATGTCGAAAAGAAAAAAAACTAAACTCTTCCGTGAGCTAATATTTACTTTACAAATTAGTAAAATTTTGCATGTTCATATAGAATCAGTTCGGTATTAATTTTCGTAACGACGAGCTTTTTGTTTTATCATGCAGAATTAAGTGAAAATCTCGTCATCATCTGAGTGCATACTATACCCATGTCGCAAGTTTGTTTTCACTACCTTCGGGATACCAATAATAGACTGCCAGTCAGAAAACAACTATTGGTATACTGCTGTAGAATGACAGTTCAGGATAGCCGATTGTTGAAGCATCAAACTACCGTGGGTAAAGCGCACATTATACCAAAAAGTCTACTGACTGTTGATCGGCGATTTTTCTGCACACATGGGTTGATATTTCGGTATTTCCATGCAAGTCATATGTCTTACAGAAACATCCAAGTTCAATACATGTCAACGATATGATCGGCTCATGCTTTTCTTGCAACTGAATCGATCGAATCATTGGTGTATACAAATAAATCTGCAAGAATAAGAGTCGTGCATGATTCCATATGTTTCCTATGAAGCTTGAAAAATTATATTTTCACGCAGGTATTTGCGACATGCATCTGTATACGTATACTCTCGTTCTGTACTCGTGCACAAAAATGAAAAATATTTACAATAATTTAGATGATTAAAATTAGTTGAAAAATATTTTTCAAGTAAATGTATGTTCGCAAAAATATTATTACATCAATGAACGTGTCTTTTAAAGTTTTCGCATTTGATACTTTCAATGAGTACCAAATATGGTAGCGAGAAAATTACATTCACTAATTTCTTCTTCTTTCTTAAGACACGACTATCTCTCAAGAATTATAATCAAACATATAAAGTAGATAGTTAGATATTTATGTACTTAGACATCTTTAAGACCATCTGGAATATTGCAATTAACAAATGAAATTTTCTTGCAAGACCTACAAAGATATTACCTAGTAATTAAGAAAAAGAAAAAAATCTTTTTTGTTTATTACAATATAATTGATTCAAACATAGTTCAAATCTTGGTCTCATAGAAGTTTCGCTGATATTTTTTTTAATGATAAACATAATTATTAAATACTAAAACTGTAACTGAATAAATAATTATTCCAACTTAAAAACAGCTCATTGTTAATAAAATAAATTGCTGGAATCAAGTGTCTTAATTTTCTAGTGAAAAATTAAGATAGAAATTATTTATAACATTATCTATTATAATAGTCCTGTTATATTTTGTTTCTATCTTGTTAATAAATATAATTTAATCTATGTACATATATTCCTTTTAGCTAAGCGACATGCAACTAGAGTTTTTTGTTTTTTCTTAAGAACAAACTTAATATTTCTACTGTATATAAGACTAATATAGCATAGAAAAAAGTGTGTCAAAGAATCATTTGTAAGTCATGCAGTGTTGCCTGCCAATAAATCTATTTATGATGAATAGTTACTTGAGTTCATGTTTAAAAAGTATTTAGAAAATAATGAGCAATATCTGTCAAATATGTTTTTACCACTAATAATGTTGCAACATGTTTTACGTCTTTTTCAGTTTATAATTTTACAAACGTCATTCATTAAATATTGAAATGTTATCATCTAATGAAACTATTATTGAAGTTTTACATCATGCAACAATTCAATTTAATCGTTATTTATCCATTATTATTTATCTTTTTGGTACAGTCGGTAATATTCTTAATGTTATTATTTTATCACAAAAAAAATTTCGTTCGAATTCATGTGCTTTTATTTTTCTTATATCATCTATTGCTAGTCTTATTGCTATTTTATCTGGACTTACAAATCGAATGATTGCCGGTTGGACAGTTGATCTAACATCTACTATTAATTGGCTTTGTCAACTTCGTGCTATGGTTTTATTTACTTCAAGAACAATTGTTTTATGGTTAATAACATTAGCAACTATTGATCGATGGTTATTATCCTGTTTTAATGTTCGTCGACAACAAATGCGTACATTAAAAACTGCTCAACAATGTACAATTATAATTATTATTTTTTCAATTTTACTTAATGCACCAATAATCTATTGTTATGAAGCTAATTTACTTGAAACACCTGTTCAATGCTATGGTAAAACAGCAGCTTGTCGTATTTATACTGATATAATGTATGGATGTGGTTCAATATTAATTCCTTCTTTATTTATGACATCTTTTTCTATAATGATTATTTTAAATATACGTAAAACACGACGTCGTATTGGAATTTTTAATATATCAACAAATCATGTTAGAAGACAAAGGCAAACAAAGAAAAGAGATCGTCGATTATTAATTATGTTACTTGTACAGGTTACTTTTATTGTTGTACTTACTTTTCCACAAGCTATTCAAAAATTATACGCAACTATAACATTAGATTTTAATAGTTCATCAAAATCAATATTACAAATTGCTATTGAAGATCTTATATTCAATTTTGTTGTACTTCTGACATATCTTGCTAATGGTTTACCATTTTATATATATACATTAAGTGGTGGAAATGTATTTCGAAATGCATGTTGGCAACTTATAAGAGCGTTTGGTCAAACAATAACTTGTCAAAATAATTGAAGTTAAAATAGCAATATAGATTTCTTTGAATGTTTTATCTTATCGTGAATATTGTCTGTAATAAAGTCAATTTTGCTTTTTTTTAGCGGGATGTTTTAATTTGTTAATAAAGAAAAAAAATGATGAAAAATAAAATAAAATAAAATTTTTACTATAGTTTGAATTGATATTTTGTATAATAATAATTTTTCCAAATTCATGTTGAGATTAGATTCAATTATTACTATAATGATTTGTTGTCAGCTGCGTGGAATGCAAAATTTGAGTGGAACTTTTTTTCTCGTTCATTTATAAATGATTTAATATAGCTTAACGAGCTAGTCACAAATATATAGTTTTTATTTCGATTCGATGAGTGTTTGGCTGAAAAAAATCGAATGGTTAAATATGTAACATTGGCAATTATGAACTTCCTTTTTCTCACATAGAAATCGTCAAATTTCAATTATGTTATTTTTTTCAAACTTTATGAAAACATTTTATTCTGATATCACCAGCAAAAATTGAGTAGAAAAATGTTATTTGATTAGACTTCGAGGTAATGAGATTTAAAAACAACTTCTGTCCAACATAGATATCTCGAACATGTATCATATCACGTATTTATGAATGTTCTTATAAACTTACCTAGTTTTTCTTTGTAACAGAAAATAGAAGCAAGTGTCTCATCTCATTAGAATCATCAGATCATGAGCTAGAAAAGTAATTCTTTAAGATTTCGTTTTATTATTGAGAAAATTCAATTTGTTTATCATTTGATGGTCAAACTAGATAAAAGAATGAAAAATGTGCTTGTATTTATTAATTTTTATTACCATTGTTTAGTTAAAAAACTAAGTAGATAACATATTTGGAATCATCGTAAAAAAACCGGCATCAAATCATATATGTTTTATGAAATTTCTTTTTCTACGAAAAATTGACGCTGAGAGGCTACAGACAAAATTTTAAAAAAATAGACCTGAGGAGAATCCAGCTGTATTTTTCATTGGAAATATTTTTTCCTAAAACATATATGATTCAATGCAATTTTTGACAGTGATTCCAAATATGTTATTTACTTAGCTTTTTAACTGAACGATTATAATAAAAATTGCTAAATACGAGCGCATTTTTCATTCTTTTATCTGATGTTGTTCAATGGAGCTGCACCTATTACTAAAGCTCTAATGTTATATATTATTAGGCGTTAGATTTTATAAGACCCTGTATTATGATATTGGATTCCGAAGTTTTCCATGGAATGATCCGCAGGATTCCATAAAACTTAGTGCCATTATACTTGACTGTGCAATTCCAGACTCTTATATAGTTCAATAGCTTTTTCACGAAATCTATTATTCTTCTTGGCATTTGTGCCTCATTTTAGGCTTTTATGAAAAAAAATTGTTAGCATAGTCTCTTTGGAGTTGAAATGTGGAATTCACATGTCTTATTTAGCTTCATTCTACTAAAACAAAATATACAAAATGTAAAATCTCTAACAGACCAGACTTCTTTTTCAACAATAATCGATTTCCAACAAACATTCTGTCTTTTTTATTTGTCTCCTTGCTAATTGCATGGTATTTATTTCCTTTGTTTTTGGTTTCATTTTCATAATTTACTATTATTAGTCTAATCATTAATTTAATGGACGAATAAGTCTGTTATACACATTTGTTATATCTACAACAGATCTTAACGATCTATTATGTATTCCGATGAACCCAGAAAGATTGAAATTGATTATTCCCAAGAGCTAGAACTTAATCAGTTCATGCTTTGATGTTGGTCATATGATAATCATGAAAAATCAAAACATCATCCTTGATATCTTAAGAGAGATTTCGCCAGTCCATCGAGAATCGTTGGAGAATGATTAAAAAGAAAGTTACTCTCTTTTATCTCATTCAATTCCTTGAAGTAAAGTAAGATTATGAAAATTTTTTTAGACTTTCAAGACTTCTGTTAATGGAGTTATAGGCTTACGAACAAGAGGGATTCAAGAAAATCTCAAGAAAAACATGCTTTTCTTTTTTTCCAGTATTTCGACTATAACTCCGTTATTTTTCATCCTTTTTTCTGCGCTACGTCTCATTCGAAAGAGCTCATTAAACTGAACAAAAAATTCTCTTATAAAATTTCCAAAAAGTGAAAACTTTATAGGAAAAAAATGCGTCTTTCTAAGCATCCAGGTTATTCGGAATCAGATTTTTATCAGTGCAAACCATTTCTCAAGATTACAGAAGTCGAATAGGAAAATCTAATATAGTGTATCTTGTAGAGAATTTTACGCTCTACAAAATCCATATAGACAATTCGAGAGAAAACATCACGTCATGTCGTAATTTTCAAGACAAAGAAGAGAAAAGCACCTCTTTTTCTATATAAAGTTATAGGACAAGCCAGAGTCCTCGATCATTTAACCATTAAATATCAATTTTCAAGCAAAATTCATATTATATTTGGAATCAGCATCAAAAACTGAGTCAGACAACATATGTTTCATTAAAAATATTTTTTTGAGAAATTTCATCTGAGGGGGACCTCAGGGAAAAACTTCTCAAAAATGAGCTGACGGGAAGTACGGATGAATTTCCTCAAAAAAATACCTTTAATGAAACATATATTGTCTGACTCAGTTTTTGATGCTGATTCAGGGCTGCCAAATCCAAATTTCAAAAATCAGAAGTTTTTTGCGAAACATCAGGAGTTTACCAGGGAATTTTTACTGAAAAATCAGAAGAAAAATCAGAAGATGTTTATTGAAATCAGAAAATGAATTAGTGGTCTTCTCTCAAAGAAAACTGAAGTTTTCGTTCTTCTAATCACTCGTTATGTTCTTGTACTAAGTTACTGATGACAAAATTTCCTCTATGTGATATATATTCTTAAAAAAACATAATTATGTGGAATTTATTTTACTACTCATTTCACAGTGGTTTATCAAAATATACCGACAAAATAGAAAATGAAGTTTAATTAGACATTAATATGTAACTAAACAAAATGGGCATACATGAACAATAATTTATTAACTATATCGTTCATGTCACTTTTGTAACATGACCATGGACAAAGGAGTCACAAGTCCTGAGTATGCTCGAGCCTACTCTAGGTTGGACAGCTAAAGGCTTAGGTAGACTCGTGGATGGAATAAATGAAGGCTTAGATAGCGTCTATTCGTAGATGATGGAATCACACGGATTGAGTAGACTAAAGCCTATCTTTGGTTCAGATCCCATAGACTATGGTACGCTCAAATAATTGTTTTCTACTACGTCAAATTGATCGGTTTGTGCAGTACGTAAAAAATTTGTACAGACGTCAAGATTTTTTGTCGCTATCGGCAACAAATAGTAACATTTATTGAAACAGACCTAGAAACTGTTTTTGAGAAAACTTTTAGTTTTGTGTGAATAAATGTCAAATCTTGGGTCAGCCATGATTTAAATTGAGGTTCTTTCGTTAAAAGTGACGAAGTACTACATAAAAAACCTGAATCATATCAGCTAGTAGCTGCCAAAGACTTTCATCATTTTTAGCGACTAAGTTTACATTACCCGATCATTAGTGTTATGAGAGCAACTTTTCTCGATTATTTTTTCTGTTCTCAGAAAAAATTTGCTGTTCTCGCCCGTATATTCTCTTTCTCGGAAAAAATTGTTATTCTTGTTCTTACACTCTTATTCCCAGAAAAAAATTTATTTTCACTTCTGTAAGCGGAAGCTTAAACCAGTCCATAGATGGGTGGTGTGTAAGTGTGATTTTATTTTTTTATTTCGGTAGCGACTGAAAATACTCAACTTTTTTAGTTTGTCGGCGGAGGTGAGTGAATTTGTTGGACAATTTCTTTAAGGCTTTCTTATTTCAGAGAAATTATCGGATGGAAAAAGAGAAAACAATGGTAGAGAACACACTGATAAAAAATCTAGACAGAAACATCGTTGAAGAATGATCTCAGGCGTCGAAAAATCTTCAAAACTGTTAGTTTTTTTTGTCCCACCGACAGTGGCGACTCAGCTCGGCGATTTACACTTCTAATCGTAAGACTTCAGGAATTCATATTCCTGTTTTATTTTTAGATTTTAAGATAACCGTGACTCGACTTGAAATTAAAAATATAATTATGATTGGAGCTACAGTAGGTTAGTTACGTAAAAATAAAACGCTGTTACATACAAGTATCCGAATATGTAGGTAAATACGAGAAAAAAGGCGGGAACACCAATACTTAATGGAGTTCCCATTGCCATACGAAATGGAGCAAGAAAACGACGAGTATAGAAAAATATTCCCGCAGAAAAAATATCTTTTCAACACAATAAAAACATTCATAATGTAATGTCGTTTTTGTGAACATTGCTGCTTGGACATTATTTTATTTTTTAGCACAGCAGATGGAAAACAATTCTTGTGAGAGTTGAAAGTCAATGAAGATAATCATCAACATGTTTTCTTAAATGCGCGTTTTTTGACTGATAAGTTGCAAATGCTTTTCTTATCTCTATCAGCGTCATACATTACAAAATGCGAGTTCGAAATGAGAAACACTAACTTTGTTTCATCAAGATGACATCAAAAAAATTGGCTTAGGCTATATTTTTAATTTTCTGGTGCGAATCCTGTAAAAAATTGTTGAGCCTACCCTAGATCCAAAACATTTTGCCACCTATGAACATGGTCATATTTTTCTGAAGACTGAATTTGTTTCAATAGGTCTGAATTATTTAAAAGATAATTATAGAACTTTGTACAACTGAGACGATTATTCATTTAGTTCCTAATTATGCACCAATAATATTGCACTTCAAATCGTTTCTATTATCAGCCCACAAAAATTTCATGTGGCTGAAGGTCAATTCACAAATAGTATTCTAGGTTGATATAGAAAAAGCGAACTAAACTAGTTTTTGTCCATGAGGTACATTTTAACCGTCAAGAAGATAAGCTCACAAATAAACGCATGTTATCAGGCCTAACAAGCAGAAACGACGTGTTTTCTTATTGTCTATTGCATCTATGAAATAGTGTGATAGTTCTCTTTTTCATTGTCTTATTGATTCAAAATATCACTACAATTAAACGTGACAAAATCCTTTAAAAAACCAGGAGAACTCAGGAGAAAATCATAAAAATCAGCTCCTGGATTCAGAAGATTTTTTCACCAGGAGAAAAGTCTAAAAATCAGGAGTCTCCTGGCTAAATCAGGAGATTTGGCAGCCCTGTGCTGATTCCAAATATAATATGAATTTTGCTTGAAAATTGGTATTTAATGGTTAAATGATCGAGGGCTTTGGCTTGTCCTATAACTTTATATAGAAAAAGAGGTGCTTTTCTCTTCTTTGTCTTGAAAATTACGACATGACGTGATGTTTTTTTTCTCAAATTGTTTATATGGATTTTGTAGAATGTAAAATTCTCTACAAGATACACTATATTAGATTTTCCTATTCGACTTCTGTAATCTTGAGAAACGGTTTGCACTGAAAAAAATCTGATTCCGAATAACCTGGATGCTTAGAAAGACGCATTTTTTTCCTATGAAGTTTTCACTTTTTGGAAATTTCACAAGAGAATTTTTGTTCAGCTTGATGAGCTCTTTCGAATGAGACGTAGCGCAGAAAAAAGGATGAAAAATGACGGAGTTATAGCCGAAATACTGGAAAAAAAAAAGAAAAGCATGTTTTTCTTGAGATTTTCTTGACCCCCCTCTTGTTCGTAAGCCTATAACTCCATTAAGGAAAGTCCTGAAATTCTAAAACAATTTTCATAACCCTACTTTACTTCAAGGAATCGAATGAGATAAAAAAAAAAAGTAACTTTTTTTTAATCATTCTTCAACGATTCTCGATGGACTGACGAAATCTCTCTTAAATATAATCGTTTATCTGCACAAAAGTCAGAAGCTGCGTTGTTTAGAATATCGAAAAACGTATTCCAGTCATTTAACTATCAAGGAAGATTCTGGAATGTTCTAGAACCTTCTAAGTCTGATTATTAATGTCATTTAGTGCCTTTAATCTCAATTACTAAGATCTGTGATGAAGGCGATTTTTTGAAAAAACCCTCACGAAAAGGATAAACTTATGATTTATACTTTAGTTCTTTTTTCTCATTCTTTCAACATCACATGGAAAAATACGTTATTGAATTATTAATCATGATTCATTGCAAGATAGTTGTGCAATATTCCTTACTTCCTGTACACGATAATTTTCATGTAACTATATATATGTTTAAATTTACAGAACAGAGTAACACAATCGAGATAGAAACCACAGACATATAACATAAGACGATCTACTATAAAATAAAATATTCTTCGTTTATTTAGCTTGATGGATTTGAAATTAATTTGCCAACCTAAATTTCATTTTCGATTTTTTAATTTCTCTGGAGAACCAAAAGCAATCGCTCCATCTATTCATGATTACGAACACATACCAATAGTTACACTTGAAGAAGCAGTTGAACCATTAGTAATTTTCATACCTCAAGTACAAGATATGGTTAAATTAGTAAAAGAAAAATGTCAACAACCAAAAGATAATCTTTCTATAGATGAATCAGGTTCAATTATGCTTTATACAATGGAATGGTTACCAAAAGAAGATTCATTTCATTATATATTTAATCGAAAACTTCATTTAAATGATCCTAATGAATTAATCCCTTGGTATTTTTATTTAAAATTAATTTCAACATCATTATCAAAATTACCAAAATTATCTAGGCGAATTTTTTATCGAGGAATTAATTTAGATTTAAAAAATGAATATTTTTTGAATAGAAAACTTTTTTGGTATGAATTTTTATCATGCCTTTCATCGATAAATGCTTTTGATAAAAAAGAATTTGGTTTTGTACATACGGGTATTCGTACTTTATTTATTATTCATAGTAATCATGCAAAAAATATCAGTCAACATTCATTTTATAAAATAGAACATGAAATTTTACTCTTACCTGGACAACGATTTCAAATTGTTTCATATAAATCAAGAGATGAACTTCATGTTATTACTTTAAAAGAAATTTCATATCCCGATTCTATTGAAACAAGTTTGTCAACAGTAACTAGAAATGAAAATTTAAAATTGTTTAATTTATTATTTCGAAAACGAATTAAATATTATGAGAACTATTGTGAAATTAATTTGAGAAATCAAAAATTAACTGATACTCATATGAATATTATTACTGAACAAGCTATAAAAAATAAAAAATGTATTTGGCTCTCGTTACAAAATAATCAAATTACATCACAGGGTCTATGTATTGTAGCTGATAGTTTAAAGGAAAATGATTCATTAGAATCATTATATCTTTCACGAAATTTCGTGACTAATGTCGGTGTAAAATATTTAACTGAGATTCTTTCAAATAATTATTCAAATTTGACATTACTTTGTCTTGATCACAATGGTATTAAAGATGAAGGTGTACATTATTTAGCTGATATGTTAAAAGAAAATCGAACTTTAACTGATTTATGGCTTTCATATAATGATATAAGTGATTATGGTGTACAATCATTGGCAAATGTATTACGATCTGATAATGAAACTCTTATGCAATTATATTTAAATGGAAATAAATTAATAAGTGATTATAGTAGTAATTTTCTTCTTTCTATGTTTGAATCCAATCGAACATTAAATACTTTTTGGTTACAAGATTGTTGTTTGTCACAAGAAGGGAAAGTAAAACTTGAAAAAATAGTAGAATGTAGAAAAAATTTTGATTTATATGTATAATTTAAATGTTATTTTTTTATTGATTTGAAATAAATTTCATTGTCTAATGTATAGAAAAATCTTGTTGTCTGGTTCGAATTATTAACTTTATGCGACTGTTTTTTATTGATTGTTTTTGACTTTTGTTTTTATTCAATCACCACATCATTCGAAATCAATTCGTCAAATGTTTATAGTTTTCATACTCTTGCAATGTCAATAGAATGCTGCACGAAAAAAAAATTTAGACTGCCACTTGAGCTATTCTCGAGTAGAGAAGGCGACTGACTGCATGAGCTCGAATATAATAGAATATTGATTTCATTAATTTTTCCTCGTACTTCAGAACGAATTGATTTTGCTATCGAATTTTAAAATTAATCAGTTAGAGAATCAAGATTTTCTTTTCTTATTGAAACAGATTCTAATATTAATTCGTTTTAATATGTTCTTGAGTACAATACTAATGTTGAATATCAATGAAAACTTATGTTTCATTTTTTTTTAATATGTACTAATTATTATCATCGTTCGTTCTTCGATCGATATAACTCATGTAAGTTTTTTTGTCTAGGCATTTGAGACTTCGTTATTGAATGAATTTAAGTCACACAAGATGATAAATAAAGTATATATGCATATCATATCTCAAACAACAATGTTTGCTTTAAGATTGAATCATGCATCACCATATAAGGAAACTATTAAACTGCTAATAATCATTTTCTGCATATTCATATTTCCCGAATGGCGTCAAATTTTCAAAAAGTGAACTTCACATGTGTAGTTGTCACGTTCTCAAGATTTCAATAAGCTTTTTCCCAATTCAAAATGATGCTTAGATGCAGGAAACAAGGAATTGACTTTAATTGTGACTAATAACACATCAAGTGGAAGAACGGAGAAAGAGAGGAAGAAGAATTCGTCAACACAACTAAATAATTTAAAAGCAATATACCAGTTGTTACAATTCATGCAGTCAGTCACCTTTAATAACAAACCACGAGGAGAAAAAAAAAAGGTAGTAGCAGCTTTCTAAAAGCATTCTGTTGTTTTTTATTTTGATTGTTATGTAATTACGATGGTCACTAGACGATGTTCTTGAAAGTTGAGATTTATTCTTTTCGTTTTTTCTTTCTTAGATAAAAATGTCAAGTTATAGTTATGATAATTCAGCAATGGATCAACGACGATCGAATTTTACTAATTTATATGTGAAAAATTTTGGTAAAGATATGAATGAAACAAAATTATGTCACTTATTTGGTACTTATGGTACTATAACAAGCTGTAAAGTATGTTATAAAATGCTATTAATTAAAATTATTATAAATATCTTTGTTTTATCGTTAGATTCAAACAGATAATAATGGTCAATCAAAAGGATTTGGTTTTGTTAATTTTGAACGACCAGAAATGGCACAACATGTAAATTGATATAATTTATTTTATATGAATATTTTCTTTTCTATTAGGCAATGATGAATTTAAATGGATATGTATTACACGACGGCAAACAATTGTATGTTGGACGTTTTCAAAAAAAATCTGAACGTCAAAATGAACTTCTACGAATTCGCGAAGAAAATCAGCATAAACAATCGAATAATCTTTCGTTGTTTGTTAGTAATTTGGATCCATTGATTGATGAACAATTACTTGAAGTAATATTTACTAAATTTGGTAGAGTAACTAAAACACATGTGAGTATACATAACATATGATAATTAAAATTATATACATTTTTATTATCATTTATTTAAGATCTTGAGAAATGGTAATCAATCAAAAGGTGTTGGTTTTGTATGCTTTAATACAATAGAAGAAGCAACTAAAGCTCTAAATGAAATGAATGGTAAATGGATTCTTTCAAAACCAATCTATGTAAAATTGAGTACAAATATGAATAGTGAACAATCAATTACACCTAGTCCACCAACGCCATCGATTTCTTCAGCAAATATAACTTCTCCACCAACGATTCGAATGCCATATTTCAATACTCCAATGATGTTTTATCTACCTACACTTATGGCTCCAACTCAATCAAATAATTATCCATTATCAATAGATCCACTCAATTTGCAAACACAGTCTACTAAAAGATATTCACCACCACCATCATCAATGCTAACGTCATCCAGTACTACTAATACAAAACAATAATTTTATTTATAATTTATCTTAAAACTGATACTCAACAAAACGATTATTGAAAAAATCATAAAATGAAAATAAGTAGCTTTTTTATTTTTTAACATAGTACCATTACCACACTAATCACATAGTGGCTTTTCTTTTTTTGTATTATTGATTTAGAGGAAAAAAAACAAGTAATTTATTGATATCTCGAGTGTCACATAACTAGAGTTATATTGAATATGAAGCATATCCAAGTCCAAGAAAATGGCACCATTAACGGTCGTAAATGATATAAAACGACGAAATTAATGCAACAATATGCGGTTTCTATCGGTTAAAATCATCACCTTGAGTATAGAAGAAAATTTCTATTACATATGGTTCTATATACTTATCTCTCAAGCATTTCTTTTTTTTGGACGAAAAGGGAGAAAAAAATCAGAAAATAACGAAGTTTTTTTTTTTTTATAAAGAGAATCAAGAATCAGAATTATTCATGAAAACTAGAACGAATTAGACTAAATTCGAAAAAAAAAAGATTAGAATTACTGCAACAATCACTACGTGTTTTATATACGTATATATTATGAAATAAACAATCACAATGTTTTGTCTATTTTGGAAAATATTCAATTATTGAATGCAAAACCATCATCATTGTTCAAGCTTTGCCTATTTATTCTCTTGAATATATTTCATATCTTGTTAGTCTCGAGTATTGTTCATTTAAAAGACTCAAACTATTCCATTTGCCTAATATATAATCATTTGCTGTTAATCTATATTAACTCTACTGTCATTTCATATATGTACATACATTGATGATATTATATATACGATCAATAGGATTTTATTTTAATAAATATTCTCATTATTTTATGAACATTTCAAATCAGGAAATTCCATTAAGATCTTTTATACTATATAGAAAAAAGCTTTGAGTGTTAATAATGTATAGACCTATTTCCGATAAATTTCAACAATAGTATTGCATAACGTGCACATCCATCGTACTTTCATCTATTCATTTCGAATACATTAGATCAAGGATAAATTTATATTTCTAAATTTATTCAATTCACACCAATGAATAAAATTTGATAATGACTTTGAACAAATTAATATCGATACAAAAACGGAAAAATAAGAATAAAACTTCATTAGAATTTTCTACTTTAATCTGTACACTTTCAATTATGATAAAACCTAATTAAGTATAGAGTAGAAAAATAATGAATGTATATCTATCTGGAGTTAAACCTAGGATATTATTTATTTTAATTTGTATATCATGAGAAAAAAGTTGTTTAATAATGATCTGATTATTGAATTAATCATGAGTTTTTGCTAGTGTTTTTTTAACCGCTGAACGATCGATAATCGTTTGTGAATCAAAACAGTAAATATCGCTTTTTTTTTTAAAATTTACCCATTGAATAGAACGTTGAGTTAATAAAAGTCATGATATTAATAGTTGAGTTTTTTACGTTGCAATAAATCAAATGTCTAATCGACTTTTAACAACAATTTCTTTTTCTATGCAAATAATAATACTATAGACATCGTTATCATTAGTTATATATCTTCTGTTGTCATTGTCACCAATATGTAGGCTAAGTTTTGTTTCTCAATAATGTATAAGAATATTTTTCTTATCATATTCTGTCATTTATTGTTTTTATTATTTTTTTTTTTTTTGTGTTCTTATAATTGTTTATTGATACTTTCAATAGAGTTCGCTATGTGATGGTTTGGATAAGAAAAAAAAAACTGACTGGAGGAAGACAAGTTTTTATTGATTGGTTATTAAAGCAATTTTCTTAATAGTAACCTATGATCATGTAAACAAATACATAATAAATAGAGCTCAATCCAGTATTTTCATGTTCATAAGTAACTATATGAATTAATTTTTAAGATTAAAATGATTTTTTTTAAATGGAAATATGATATTCATGGCCAACAATACAAACAATATAAGATCTAGTACAATAACAACGACGAATAATCAATCTAATAATAGCCCTTTGCTATCGAGCGGGGTTCATTCAATTCAACGTAATAATCGAGATCTTCTTCATCCAAAAGTAAGAATTAAATATTAAATTTTATAAATATATATTTATTTCAACTAATATCCATTTAATATTCAATTTATTTTAATCAAAATATTTCTTGATTTCAAAAACATTTATTTTATGTAATTATTTACACAAAAAATATCACATTTATTACTAGGAAATAAAAAATAGTATCGATTTCTAAAAAATTTTATAATTACTAAATATAGATATTTATAATAGGATTGTAATAAATACTCGAACTGAAAAGGTTCGAGCCTCTTTTTTTTTATTATTTAATATTTGCTTGTTCTACTTGCAACATTTATTTGTCGTTCAAGATATTTTAATAACAAAGAGTACAACTAAATAATCATCATAAGTGTTGCCCTTTCTTTCATTACTTGAACAGTTTAATATATATATATATATATGAAATGTCGTATTTTTAGAAATTAGCATTTTCACCAAAATTGAGTGGTCTTGGAACAACACAAGATAGCAGTCTGTCATCAGATTCGTATAGTATCAATCGACAAGTAAGTATTTTTTGAATTGATTGATAATGCAATTTTTTCTATTGTTATTTAATTAAATAAATTTGTCTCTTTAGGGAAAAAAATAATGATTTTTCTTTTTCTATTTCCTCGTCAAAAACAAAAAAAAAAAAAGAAAAAACACAAACCATTTTATATTTGTATTAGCAAAAAAGAAAATGAGTTGTCTGTCATACAAAAAACAAAATAGAAATAGACTTTTGTCTGCTGTGTTAGAATGATAAGACAAGTAGAATTCGATGCGACTACATGGTGTGTTATTCGTTCTTTATGCGTGTCAAATCATGATTTGACGCTAGTTATATTACGCTGTTATATGCACGCCTGTGTAGAATTAACAAATATTCATATGCATTCTTATTTCTTTCGTTATTGTTGTCGAGTCCTAACGCGATGTTCCATAGGTACTTATATACGATAATCAAGTTGTCTAGAAGAACGAACGAAAAAGAAAATGTTTTTACTAAATCATAGCTGGAATCGAGAGAAAGAGAATAAGTTTTTTTTTTTTTTTTTTTTATCATGGATTAGAGTAAACGATAAATATAAATGATGAAACTCTATTTGATTAATAGTGGAAAGTGATAGAATGAAAAATGTTCATGCCATCTATTCGAAATGTAAAACAATATTCAGCTGATAGTGCTTATTCAATAACAACAGTTGTAAGTCTTCTTTTACAAATACATTATTGAGTTTTCTTCGACTATTTGTAATCGTTGTACGAGCGGGTACAAAAAAAAAGAAAAATACGGACATATTGACAAATGTAAGGTCACCATTATCTTTCTAATTCGCTGAGACTAATAATCTACATTCCAGCTTTATTAATTCTTCTTCATCAGCAATTAGAAAACAAGGAAGAAAAAATTGTATGTAATTGCAAATCGATGGATAATTACTCAAGTAAAGTAAAAATAGTTTTGACAAATACTGATTGATGACAGAACACATTGACAATAAACAACAGAAAGGATTTTTCTACAGAGCCAATAAAGATGAATTTTGCATTACTCGTCCACCGTATAATATTGGTTTGTATTTTAAAATTTAATAAATATCAAATTCCCATAGGAATTTCAAAAGAAAATTTTTATTTCCCTAGAAAATTGTTTCGTTTTTATTTTAATATATAGGGTTCAGCTGAGTCCAATTATAGTCAACAATCATCAGAAAGTTTTGATGGAGATTCATCTGATGTAACTAAAACAGCTGCTACAACTACAAATAGTTTATCACCTCCAACTAAACTCCGTGATCAAACACGTTCAGCAAATGAAGCATTGGAACGATGTAAAACAAAACCAGTTGCATTTGCTGTACGAACAAATATTGATTATGTACCATCACCTGATGATCTTTGTCCTATTGCTAAAGCAGCTATTACATTTAAAACAAAAGAATTTCTTCATATAAAAGATGTAAGATAAATTAAAATAAATCAACAAAAAAAAAAAAAACTAAACAAAGAAATTTCATTTCTTTAGAAATTTAATAATGATTGGTGGATTGGTCGATTAGTTAAAGTTGATGCATCACTTGGTTTTATACCAAGTCCAGCTAAATTAGAAATGATACGTATACAATCAAATCGTAAAAGTAAAAATCATCCAATACCACTTGCAAATACAACACCACGTATGAAAGGATCAACACAAAGTATGTTGTTATTTTTCATAAAGAAAAAAAAAAAAATTTCAAAAATTTTTTATTTTTTTACTTTTGTTTTTTCTTAAGGTCTTGATATGATTGATCAAAATGTTCCTACATTTAATGATGAAATGTTTGGTAATGATGGTGATGGTGATAATAATAGTCTTACGAAATCAAAATTAAATACAAATGCAAACAAAGATAGAAAGAAAAATTTTTTCAAAAAGGTAAATAAAATCTAGATGAAAAATTCATATAAAATACAACATTTATTTGTAGAGTGTAAACATTACACCATATGATGTTGTACCAAATATGCGTCCCGTTGTATTAGTTGGTCCTTCATTAAAAGGATATGATGTTACAGATATGATGCAAAAAGCTGTTTTTGATTTTTTAAAACATCGTTATGAAGGTCGTATTATAATAACACGTGTTACAGCTGATATATCTCTTGCTAAACGTGGTCTTTTAAATAATCCATCAAAAATTGCACTTATTGAACGTACTAGTTCAAATACTGGTGGTGATAATTCATCATCAACAGCACCTGGTTTCGGTTCAATCAATGCAACACGTGCAAATGGTATAAAAGAAGTTCATGATGAAATTGAACGTATATTTGAATTAGCACGAAGTTTACAATTAGTTGTACTTGATTGTGATACAATAAATCATCCAGCTCAATTACAAAAAACATCTTTAGCACCAATAATTATTTATTTAAAAGTTTCATCACCAAAAGTTTTACAAAAATTAATTAAATCACGTGGAAAAAGTCAACATAGAAATTTAAATGTACAATTAGTTGCTGCTGATAAATTAACACAATGTCCAACTGTATGTGTTTCATAAAACGATTGGATGATTTGGTTTTTTTTTTTAAATATAGACTTGATTTTTCTTTCTAGGAAATGTTTGATTTAATATTAGAACAAAATCAATTAGAAGATGCTTGTAATAGTTTAGCAACATTTTTGGATTCATATTGGAATGCAACACATCCGAAATTAGATGAAAAAAATGATTTAACTAATGATTCAACATATGTTCCACCACGTCCAACAGCTTCACTTATTGCTCATATACCACAAATAAGTCCTCCAGGATCTGTACCAGTTGTTACAACAACGGCACGTCTCCTTCCATCATCACCATTAATTAATGATATAACACAATCACAATTATCTGTTAATCGTTATGGAACTGCAAGTATTGCAGGAAATTCAAATCAACGTTTACCATTATCATCGAATTCGGATTATTATAGACAAACATCAACATCACAAGTGACATCTCCTGCATCTACTTATGATGACGAAAGATTTGCCCATTATGAAATGGCTAATTTTCGGTAATCGCCTAGTCATGTTTGTTTTTTTTTTACTATTCGACAAGTGTTGATCACTTGCATTTGAATGTAAATTCATTCATGTACCTTATGTGGCCCTTTCATTCTAGTCATTTGTTGTCAATCTTCTTTTTCTTTTCTTCTGGTCTCAGTGCCTAAGATTGATTCTTAGCTCTCATAACTTTTTTTTTCTCGTTCACAGTGATCATCAACTTTTTTTTTTTGCTTTTCTGCAATTTGTATACTAATATAAAACGATGAACTTCTTTTTTTTCTCTTGAATGAATAACAAAATAAAATAAGGATTGGATGTCTGATCCAAATCCAAAAGGAATATTTATTATAAGAAATCATATTACATGAAGATTCAATTATTATTACAAAAATTGATGAGTTTGTCTTGTGATCATTCTATATGGCAAAATTTTATCGAATAAATACTGGATTTGTATGACAAGAGATAATAATATTTTGTCTGTATATGTCAAAAGATAACAGAAATATTTTTGTACTGACGTCTGAGATTTTATAGAATTGATTAAGAATAGTTATTTACAACAACAAATGTCTAGTCTCACTGAAGAAAGAAATATTTATGGAAGAAATTTCAAAAGAATCATAATCTAGTGAATGACAATGGCAGATTATCAATAAAAATAAATCTTGATAATATTACTAGAGCAATTTTTCGAAGATGAGAATCTATAGTAAAATCAATTTAATAAGAAAAATCTTGAATATTTTCTGATTTTTATTTATTAATCAAATTTTAATATTTTTAGAAATTTCTTGTAATAGATAGAAATCTTTGTAAAATTTTCATAATTCCCAAACTAAAGAATCTTTATTCTGAGCTTTTTAAAAGTTTATTGTTATCTATTTTTTAGTCGAAGCGATTGATTAATAACAATAGATTTAAGGATGGTCTCAATCTCCTATCTGAGGTTTCTACAGAATGGTTCATCAGAATAATTTAAAATTTTCAGAGCAAGTAGATCTCGATACCCTTTCCTCCGAGATGGTACATTCTATCGAGCTAAAAATTTTTTTTACAGCTGTTTGACATTATCTAAAGTGGATATCTTTTTAGATTTTGTCCTTTGAATAAAATAGCAAAAATAGTTTGAGAAAAACACGATTCATGTTTTTCATTAAGGTCAATTTGATTTCTTCTCGAATTTGTTTAACGTTTAAAGACAAATTTTGGGTTTCAAAATGTATTCAGTAGATAGATACTATTTCAGACTATACAATGACCATAAAAACAAACAAAAATTTTAGATCACGAAAGCGTAGAATCCTTAAAGATAAAATTTAACAATTCTTTTTAGAAATTTTACTTAATCTATGTGAATTAAGTATGGAAATAGCCATTAATTATATGGTGGTGGTAGTAATAAAGAACAAGTAAATGATGAAGTGCCTAATTTTTACTTTGATGAAAATCAAATTAATATATCATCTTTCAAATGCGAATCATACTGACTATCATTCTTCTTTTGTTATTCTCTTTTTCATTATTCGTTCTGTATTTGTGCTAGTTCCTTTTTAATGTAAGAATCGATATTAATAATAATAGCAGTTGATTAAACATCTCATCTTCAAGTAATACCAATTTATCTATGGTCTTTTTTTTAGATAAAAGAAATATGTAAATTCATTTAGTAATACACTGAATAGAAATAAAATATGAAATTCTTTATATTGGTACTGAATAAACCTGAGCCAATATACCGATCCTGTTGAGCAAAATCGAATATGATTTATTAGAACTTTCTTAGTTAAAAAAAAAATATATATATATAGATATAGATACATAAAAATATAACGTTTTGTAATAATAATTATTTAGTTCATCTGCTAATATCCTTGGTAAATAAGATGATCATTTGCCTTCATCTTCATGTTGCTTCTGTTGTACGTTCTCATGTTGGTGCTGTTGCACGTTCCCATGTTGCTCCTGTTGCACGTTCCCATGTTGCTCCTGTTG